GGCTTCTTCTTCCAGTTAGCTCCTCTCATAGACCTAAGAAGGCAGCAGCAATTCCAAGCATCACCTGGAGACCCAGCAGTCAGAGGACTCGACACCGTGTCTGCTGGGTACCCCTTCTCAGATGGGAGGAGACTTCCCAGAACCAGGAGGCGCTTCTCATTGGCTGGGTTTTGGTCACTTGACCCTTCCTGGCCAATCACCCTCAAGGGGAGGAGTATTCCTATTTGGACTAATCTTTTGGAGGTAGAATAGCTGCTGGGTGTCAGTCATGTCTTAAATTTAGTGGCCCTTTGTTTATCATGTAAAATAAATATAAGTATCAATGTATATTTCCCCAGTTTCTTTATACTATGGATTAAAAATAGATCTCGTCTGCCATGGATGGCTTTCGAGGGTAATTATTACATTCCATTGTTTAAAAAAATCAAATAATATGGAAACATTTAGTGTAAAAAGTGAAATCTCTCAATAACCCCCGAGTCTCAAATTGAGAGCCTTTTCCAAGGGCAGCAGCCTGGGGTGGCTGTGAGCCTTCCAAAGTGTTACCTGTGGATTTGTGCACACATAGATGTGTCTATAGCAATTACAGGGTTTTTACATACAGTAAATCATCATGCACACACACTCAGTAGCTTTTTTTCACATAACAATTTGTTTTGGAGAACTTCCCATGTGAGTTCCCTAATGGTGGACATTTAGGTTGTTTCTAATTATTTGCTCTTACAAACAGTGCTATAATTAACATCCTTGTAAATGTCTCTTTGTGCATATGGGCAAGCATTTCTTTAGGGTAGCTATCTATGGTTTGGCAATTTCTACTGCCTTTAATTGCATTGCCTGGTATCTGGCAGACGATCTTCTGCATGTACAATAACTTTTCATGTCCTTGCACCATTATAGTGTAAGTTTTAAAAAGATGTTTTAGGCAACAATTAGGAATCTAAGTTTAAGTTCAAATTCTGTATGGATTGCTGTGGTCGGCTGAGGTGACACTTGAATGAAGAGATTCCTCTACAAGTAGCTAAGTCCTTACAGGTACAGGCAATGGTTTGGGGTAGCAGGTAAGATCCCCCCCACCAATGTCCCAACATTGACAGTAAGGCACATCATGATTTTTAAAACATTAAAATATGGGGAAATGCATCTTAGAATTGAGGAGTTATGATATCTCATTTTTTCTCAAATCAGTAGAGCACTGCTCCACCTGTGTTTGAATGAGCTTCCCCCCCCCCCCCCCCCCCCCCCCACCGTTAGTGGATACTGCGGCGGCTCTCCTACCAATCTGTTTGCAACACAGGTGTATGTGTTGAGGGACCAGTTCACGGCATTCACCTATATGTTGTCTATTCTAACCTGGTGGGGGGCAAGCTCCCCTGTAGCCTTCCTTCTGAGAACTTTTGCTCATGTTTGTCTACTGCTCCTCCCTTTCCCCCATGCTGTCCCTGTTACACTGGGTGCTTCATTAACTGTTCACAATCTGCATGATTTTGCATCGCAATGGGTTGGATGTGAGAACATCTGCAGCAGTTGAGAGCATATTTTGCTCAGGACTTGACACTGAGTTTGCTATCAGCATGAAGCAATCTGTGTGTGTGTGTGTGTGTGTGTGTGTGTGTCTGTATCTCTCCCTCTCTTGTTCCATGACATCTCCTAGCATTGCTGCTCCAACATTAGTTACGCCTGAGTCTTGAATGGTGTCAATCTGAGTTGAAAATGTGCCAGTCTTCTTAACATTATCACTAACAGACTGCTTAATTAACCTGCTGATACTGTCAATAGTACATCTTGCTGGTATGTCAGAAAGGAGACCCATGGTTGCATTCTCTCTCTCTCTCTCTCTCTCACACACACACACACACACACACACACACACACACCTTGCTTGGGCTCTGAATGCCTCTGTCTAGAAGCTGGACTTCCCAGGAGTAGACTAAGAGGGACCTGGGAAGATTTCAAAGGAAGAGGTACAGCAGAATTAAAAGTTCTCGATTAAATCATGGAAATAAAATCACAAACAGGTCACGGTCTCATTGCTCAAAGGCAGGAGTAACTAGTAGCTTGTATGTATACAAGCTACTAGTTGGACCACCTGTGTACACAATCAACAGAGAGATGATGGACGTACACCCTCCACACAGGCAGTAGCCCATAGGCAGTTGTTCCCAGAAGGGGCCTGAGAGCTTCCCCCATTTTGTGCATTAGAGTTTTCTTTTTTTCCCAATCCAGCTTAGATGAGGCTGGTGGGCATTGTTAGTCCCCAATAGTGTCCTTAAAGTGGCTGTCTGTGGGGAAGGAAGGAGGCTGGTTTCCTTCAGTGCTGCTTCTTTTGTCTCACGTGGATTTTAATTTGAAACTAAGTCCTACTCTGCCCTGTGAGCCCTACACTCCACACTTGGGAATTTCAGAGAGTCAGTGAGATGCCACAGTGAGCCTGGGACTGATCCATCACCACCCCAAGTCTACACTCCTTCTGCTTTGTCTCCCCCAGACATAAACTCACAAAATGGGGACTAGAGACATTTCGCCTGTCCCTGGCTTCCTTGACCGGCATGGGTACAGGTGCAGAGGCTGGCATTTCATGTGAACATAATCTGTGCCCAGGGATCCCTATATGCTGCCTCTCCTTTTATACTCAGGGAGGCCCACTGGGGGAAGTGGGGGCAGCTGCTCAAGTTTTCACAGAGCTGGCCACCCTGACCTTAAGGAGATGCATGTTCCCTGGATCATGGTCCTGTAACTTTGCCTTTCCTGGAACATTGTGGGTGCAGTGGCATTGGTGATGGAAGGCATTCTCCAAGGGCAGGGATTGATGCCTTTCAGGGCAGAAAACCCCACTCTTCCTTCCACTGGTTTTTCTTGGCTCTCCTGGGAACTGAGGGCCTGGCAGCCCCAGGGGCCTGGGGATGCAGAACATTCATACTGCCACTAGAGGGCGTCCTACTAACACAGAGGCCCAATGCCAGCTTCCCTATGCCACCCTGGGGGTACCTTTCTGAGCCCTGAGCCCTGGGTGTCCTGGGCCTGCAGGAGCTCACTTTTGGAGATAAGCAGAGAGAGCCAAATTGAAGCCCAAGCCCAGAAAGCCCCCAACCCAGGCTCCCAACCCCTCCTCCAGGTCCTTTCCTGCTGCCCCAAATCTCCTTTACCTCCAATTCACCTTCCTAATTCCGTCTCTGGCTGTGGTTAAGACAAGGATTTTTGCATGTCAACATGACTTGGGGCTGGGTAATCCTTTGTCATGTGAAGGTGTCCTGTGCATTGCAGGGGTGTAGCAGTATCCCTGATCTCAACCCACTAGATGCCAGCAGCAGCCCCACCCCCAACCCCACCCCAACTCCAGATTATGAGATAATAAAAAGCATCTCCAGATGTGGCCAAATGTCTCCTAAAATCACCCCTGGTTGAGAGCCAAAACAGGTGAGCATGTCTGCTGTGGGGACAGGAGGGGCCCAAGGCCTGAGTCCCAGCCTTAGAGGGTCTGCCCATGTTAGCATTGCCGAGTGTCGTGTGGCAACAGTAGAGATGCTCAAAGATGGCATATGTGCTCTAAATACATTGTACTGCTGAATCTGCTCTCCTGCTTTTCCTCCCCAAAGACTGCAGAGCCTCTCGGTCTTCGCCTCAGTTTCTTCCACCTCCCTACTTGATTAAAACAGGGGACTGAGGCTAAGAGACCCCAGGGTCTCAAGTCACCCACCCCTCATCTGCAGAGCTCTGTCTCCCAGCTGTGAGCACCCTGGACCTCGGGGGCCCCCAACTGTTGGCTCAGGCCCCAGGAGCATCTGTGGGCTCCCTCCCACTCCGCCAGCTCACTGGGCCCCGCTGCTCTCCAGCTCCCCAAACCCGGGTGCCCCCCCACTGGAGTGGGGGGAGCAGCAGGTGCGGATGCTAATCAGCGTTCACAGCCCAGAACTGCAGTCGCTCCCAGGCTCACACACTCCCCAAAATTAAACACTCATTATACAAAATTAATTGACATTAATTAGCAAAAATTAAAACTTTAAACACAGCAAGGCGCTTTGGGGGGAGGAGTGAAGCAGGCGGGCTCTGCATTTGTCACCCCCCACTTCCCACCCGCCCACCACCCTCAAGTCTCCCCATTTCCATCCTGAAGCAGAGCTGCATCTACACCCCACTATGATGAGTCCAGGCCTGGCCTTGTGCATCCCAGTGAAAGGGAGCAGGAAAAGGCACCCTGCTGTAGGCACCCGCTGATGTGGGGCCCACAGACGCCATATCTAGTGCTGAACTTAGGAGCCAGGAAGCTCCCCTCAGCGCAGGTCTCCAAATCTCAGCTGAGACAGGGAAGGGCATGGCCGAACAAAGGAATTCAAACGTTGGAAGAACTGTGCTGCCTAGTCCCCTGGGTACCCAAAGGTTGAGGCCTTGTAGTCTTTCTGCTCTGTTCCACTTTGCTGTGTGACCTCATATAAGTAACCTCCCCCCCCCCCAGCCTCAGTTTTCCATCCATATGATGAGGAGGTGGTGCTGGGTGAGCACTGAGGTTCCTGCCGGCTTTGGCACCTGCTGTCAGGGATGCAAATCTCTCTGGGAATTTGATTCACTCTGAGGCACAAGGGACTGAATGTGGGGACTGATATTTTGAATGGATGGGGTAGCCCACGGGGCAGTGTTCATGATGGTGGAACATCAGACTCCAGGGGGATGTGTCTGGAGGCCAGACAGCCCTTGCAGATGGGCGTCCACTGCACCTGCCTATGGGGCCTGGCCCAGAGGACAAGAAAGCAGCATTGTCCCTAAGTCCTGAACGGTTTCCCCCCAACATCCATTATTTTCCATTTTTGCTCACCAGGTTCCCAAGGTCCCCAAATCCCACACCAGGCTGATAGGCAAAGGGGCAATAGAACCTGGCCTGCCCCGACCTTCTCAGCCTTAGCACTCATTCAGGACCCTGTGGCTGGGGTGTGGAGGCCTGACAGTGAGGAGGGGGTGGCACCCGCAGGTGCAGTGCCATATCCCCTGCACCTCTCTCTCTCCAGCCAGTGCCAATATCTGCAATGTGGTCCTGATGCGGTACGGGGAACTGGAGGAAGGCATCGATGTCCTGGACGCCGACGGCAACCTCGTGGGCTCCTCCAAGATTGCAGCCAGACACGTGGGTAGCCTGGGAGCACAAGGGACCCTGGGGGGCGGGGATTGGTTTTGCCCTCTTAACGTCTCCTCCCCACCCACTCCCACCTGCCATCTGTCCCCCTGGACACGCCTTTGCTTCTCTCCAACCTCTCCTCCCATCGCCACTGTGAAAAGTCCACAGTTCTTGTCCCAGTCCCTCAGGACCCAGATCCTCAGATGAGGTGTTAATTGATGAGGGCAGAGGAGACTCCCCCAGAGCTTTCTCCCTGTGCCCAGAACCCAGGGCTCTGCTGCCTGGGCCTTCACTCTCTTTTGGGTACAAACAGGAAGCAGGAGGAGAGTGGCACTTCTGCAGCACACTTCTGGGACCCCAAACCATGAGCTCTGGGATTCCAGGCTTGCAGAGGCCTCTGGTGTGATTTGGAGAAGAATGTTTTGTGACAAGACCGTCCCCTCACCTCAGTTTCACTAGCCCCGCCCACTCCAGAGCTGTGATTGAAGAAACAGCACCCTCCGCCATGGGCATATTCTGTGCATTCCCCACCTTAGCCTTCCTCTTAATGGTGGTCTGGCTCGTCCTGCTGCCCTGGGCTCTGTCCTCAGTGCTGGGGATGAGCAGTGGTCAGCCATGAGGTAGCTGAGCCTTCACCTGCTCCTGCCACTGTCCCTCTGTAGCTCCCACGTGGGACCCAAGTCTTACCTCTGCTCCTGAAGCTTTCTCCAAAAGCCTTTCATCTGGGGAGAGCCCTCTCTCGGTCCTCATCCTCTCCCCAGTGGCCACCAGGAAAGTCAGTGCCCATCTGGGGCTAGGGAGAGACACAGATGAGGTGCCACGCCAACAATGTGTCCTCTGCCCGTTGCCCTGGTCCTCAGCCCTCTGTCCTTCTAACACCTTATTCAGGGCCTGGAGCATCCTCTCGCTGGCCTCCCTGATCATGAAGAGCACAAGTTCTTAGGAGAAGTGTTTAGCCCTGAGCCTATCAGGGAGGGGATTTAGCCTCAGTTTCCTACCTGGCCCCAGCTCCTACCTCTACTCTATCCTTTCCCCCCAGCCGCTGTGAGGGGGGCAACTGTGATACCCCCTCATGGGCCCACAAGCAAGGAAACCCCTGCTCTTCTACAGCCCTGGGCTTTCTACAGACTAACCTGGTCCATTCCTTGCTCCAGGAATCTGTGGACTGTGAGCCCTTCCTGGAAACTCCTCTCAGGATGGGAGTCCCTGGGGTTAAAGAGACTTCCCCAATGGCCATCCAAACACAGAACTGCCACTGAGCTTAGCCCCAGTCTGTGGCCTCACAGGAATGCTAAAATCAAAGCTCAGGGCAGATCCCCAATGGAGACCCTGCAGGCACTCCACAGAAGCATGTATCCTTACAAAACTGACCTCTTGTGTCTAAGAAAGACTCAACCAGCAAGACCTGGTGGTGCATGTCCATGATCCCAGCGACTCCAGAGGCTGAGGTGGGAGGATTGCAAGTTTAAGGCCAGCCTCAGCAAATTAGTGAGACTCTCAGCAACTTAAAAACACCCTGTCTCAAAAGAAAAAATAAAAATAGCTGGAGGTGTAGCAGAGTGGTAAAACACCTGGGTTCAATCCCCAGTACCAAAAAAAGAAAGACAGACAGACTCACCCAGAGCCAGGAGACACAAGATGTTCTGCATCTTTGTCTTTAAGAGATATCAAATATTAAATTAAAAAAAAAATAAGTAAACCCAGAATCTCTGTCCTCCCTCGGCCATGGCTCAGCATGCCCCTTCCTGCTCCTGCTTTGCGAGCATCTCGGGTCCTCCATATACTGCTCCTGGGCCACTGCACATCCTGGGCTGAGGAGGCTGTCCCCTCACACCCAAGGCACCTCCCTGAGCACCAGTCCCTTCCTGGGGCTGCTTCTGTCACTGCCCCGCCCCCACATATGGTAGGTGACAGGAATCTGCTCTTTCCAAATGTGCATGGTGAGAAGCCAGAGGTGGCTTTTTCTGCTGTCTGGAGTACGGCTTTGTGAGCGATTCCATGAATAATTCCACGCTGCCAGATGTGCTTAGCAGCAGCACACACACCTAGGGCTCAGGGTGGGGTCTGTTGCCAGGTGGCTGTCCCCCACCCCAGATGCCCCTCTCACCCCAGCCTATCTTACCCTCAGGCCCTGCTTGAGACGGCGCTGACACGAGTGGTCCTGCCCATGCCCATCCTGGTGCTGCCCCCGATCGTCATGTCCATGCTGGAGAAGTGAGTTGGGCAGCCAGGACTGGGGGGCCTCTGGGGAGGGGGGAAGGGGAGGGTCTAGGGCAAGGGACAAGGGAGCCACTGGCAGCCTGCCCAGTTTGTTCCAGGGGTGAAAAAGGTCCTGCTCTATTTTCAGACTCTCCCGGGCAGTGCTGCTGGAATCCCGGGAGAATTCGTGGACTTGTCTTCTGCAGGCCTCATGCTAGGGGCTGCGAGACACAGCCTACGGACAAGGCTGGCCTGCCCTGACCAGCCGACGGTTCAGGGGTGGGGGCAGAAGTCTGTGTGCGTGATTGTGAGTGTGCGCGTGTGCAGGCACACAGGGCCTTCTGAGTGAAGAGTGCGAGGCTATTGTGAAGGCAGTCTGAGGATTCAGGTAGGAAGACTAGATCTGGGGCCAGTGCCAGCCCTTGCAAACACCTGTCCTGAGGCAAGCCTTGGTTTCTCCACTGGAGAAAACACAAGTAATAATAACCTCCCTGCCCCACCCACCCTCAGAAGGATGTTCTAAGGACATATTTGTCATGACTGTCAAGAAATAAGGGAACATCATAATACCAATAACAGTGATTCTGTTAATGAATGAGTGTGAAACTGAATCACAGAGACTGATTGAAATCTTGCTGCAGAGACTGAGTAGAGGGGGCAGGAGGAACGGCCTACCTACTAAGGCCTGGGCAGGCCTGAGGTTAGGGGAGGCTCTTGCCTGGAGAATAGCAAGGGTGGGGGGCTCTAGGTGGAGGGAAGCTAGAGGGGCAGAGCCCTGTAAGGTAACTAGGTAACCTTGTGAGGTAACCAGGAGGAGATGATCACTCCCTCCCTCCTGGGGGCACTGACATGGGGTCCCCCAAGGCAGTGATGGAGAATGGGGGCAGTGTAGGATAAGGAGAGGATACAGGGCACTCCATGTGGGTTCTGGGACAAAGGCTTCTCCCCAGATTTGGGACCTTCTTATTCTTACAATTCTAATGATAATATCAACTAGCAGTTATTACTATTATTACTGTTATTGTTGTTGTTTTATGGTGCTGGGAATCAAATTCAGAGCCTCATGCATGCTAGGCAAGTGTTCTACCACTGACCTCCACCCCCAGCCCACATCAGCTAGAATTATTAAGCACTTACTACATCCTAGCCCTCTCTCAGTGGGCTTTCGAGAGGCCCCCCTGACCACCCCATTAAGAAATCAGCCTCTATCGCTCCCTCTGTCCTCTTAAAGCCTTTCCTATCTTCATTGCAGTTATCAATGTCTGAGATTATTTATCTAGTTGTTTATTGTCTTTCTGCTCCCCTAAAATGTGGTCTCCTTGAAGGCAAGTAAACCCCCTTGCTTACTGCCCTGCATTTGATCTAGCACAGTTCCCAGCACAAAGTTGATGTTCAGGAAGAATTTGTTGAATGAGTGAGTGAATAAATGCTCTCATCGACACCTCCTAACAGGGCAATGAGGTATTATGATGTTCCCATTTTACAGATTTTAAAAGGAAGGCAAAGAAAGTTATGTGGTCTGCTTCCCTTTGCATACTAGGGAAAGGCAGGGCCAGGACAGTCAGGAGAATGGCTGAAGATCCTGGGCCATTTCTACCACACTGGCTGCCTCTCTGGTGTTCAGGTCACACCACATTATCAGAGTCTCCTGCCCTGCATGGAGATGGGGAAGGAACAGATTTGGGACCTGGCTTGGATGCCTGTATTGTTACAAGGGAGATGGGCAAGACCCACACAGGTCAACAGCAGATGAGACTGAGCCAAGGTGACCTTGAGAGGAGGGGGCACTGTGGGTCCATTAGCAAGGTGGGCTAGTCTCCAAGGAGAGCTGCGCCTGAGCCTGAGAGAGCAGGATAGGGAGGGCTGAGCAGGATGGTGGGCTGTTGTGCAGACACTGAGGAGTCCCGCCTTGCTGAAACAAAGTGCATTCACTGGGGCCCTGGGTGCCCAGCTGAGGACATGATCTCTCTCTGGCTCTAGAAGAGAGCAGAGCCTCTGGGAATATCTGAACAAGGGCATATTGAGTGTTGGGATCAAGAAAATGGCAGCCAGAGCTGGATGTGATGGCACAGTCCTGTATCCCAGGGGCTCCAGGTTGAGGCAGGAGGATTGCAAGTTTAAAGCCAGCCTCAGCAACTTAGTGAGGCCCTAAGCAAATCAGTGAGACCCTGCCTCTAAGTAAAATATTTAAAAAGGGCTGGGGATGTGGCTCAATGGTAAAGTGCCCCTGGGTTCAATCTCTGGTACCAAAAAAAAAAAAAAAGCAAGCAACAAAAATAAACAGGAAAACAATCTTTTTTGTGTCCCTGACTCTATCATAAACTGAGGTTGTCTCCAAATACCATTGACTGCAAATACACACAGAGACAGGGGCAAATGAGGTTGGTAGGCTTTCTGTCTAGGAGGCCTCTGAATCCTGAGCCTCGGAACTCTGAGGCGGTTTCACCTGGCGCTGGTTGCCGATCGCTCGCACCATCTGGTGAGACAGAACACTTGCTGGACAAGTTAAGCAAAGAAGCTTCGTTAATCACAGATAGGCTTCAAAGGACAATGGAAACTTAGGGCAAGCTGGTCCCCCAAGGCTCAGGGAGGATGGAGTCACATCTGCCTGTGGCTCATGTCACAGCCCAGGGGATGGCTGGGCTAAAATGACAGGGTGTTCTGTGGTAGGCAGAACAAGCAATGGAGCCCAGGCTGTAGCCCTTCCTATCTCAGGATGTTGCCTTTCCAGCACATTCTACAGGTATCCTGAGGACCAAAGCAGAGGAGAGAGAAAGCTGATTTGGCCAAAGCCATGGGGGGGGGCCTCTCCTTTGGCAGGAATTTTTGGGAAGGAAACATGGTCTGTGATGCCTTCCCAGTTTGCATCTGTGTTGAGTTTGCAGAAAGTGGTTAGTGTTCCATGGGTTTGGGAACCTAAATTTGGTTTTGGGAGTCACAGGAGGTGGCATGGAGATTATTCTAGTTCTGGACCTCTCCAGCCTGGGATCTGCCTAGTGTCTGGGATGCCACATGGTCTGATTAAATTCAGGGTCCAAAGAAGCCTACCTGGCAGTGAGAGGTTAGCTGTTGGGTGCTTCTGGAAGACTTGCCAGGGGTTGGTCCTTCCCTGGAGCTCCTGGGAGAAACTCTAGGGAGAAGAGAGTCCAGCCCAAATTGCCCCAGTAAAATCAAGAAGAATAAGGCCCAGTGTGTGCCCTCAACAATTTACTGATCTCACACCTACTGCAGGTCTTCATGGCAGGAGCGGCAGGGCGATGTAGCAGGGTGAGCTGAGACTTCCATTAGGAAAATGAAATCTAGGCCCCTCCTGCTCCACCACTTTCTACCATTTCAATGTGGTCACAGAGCTTCCCTGGACCTCAGTTTCCCAGCTGGAAAATGAGGACACATCCCCTTCATCACTTTGCTCTTTGGACTTTGCATTTTGCACCATCCGATGCTTTTTGGCTCTTTGCGGGGTGGGTGGGGCCCTGCCATGCACCCCATAGTCTTTAGGTGCAGGGGACTGGTTCAGGGCCTCTACTGAGGAGGCTGCTGGGAGGGGCAGCCCCCACCCTCAGGGAGCCCCGCATGGGTGAGGGAGTCCGGACAGCCAGAGAAAAAAAGACAAAAGAACACTTACAAAGCAGCCTACTTGCAAATTAATGGAGCGCAAACTAAAACTGCGCTCCAAGTGCTGAAGGAATGCACAGCAATGGGGGAGACCAGCTGTTGTGTGGAAGCCGGGACTGGGACCCGACTTGCCTCTGGCCTCACTTTATCCTCTGTAGCAGGAGCACTCAGAGCCAAGGAGCCTGGGCTTCTTGCTAGGGTAAGAGAGAGGTGGGAACTCTGCAAGCTCCACTGTACTTGACTCTTGAGATGAAAAGGAAAAGTCTCAAGTCAGAGGCAGAGGAGCCTCCACTCCTGGCCCAGAGGCTGCTCTCCAGGGGGTGCAGGCAGGAAGGCAAGCAGGTGTCCTCCCCTGCAGCCTTCACCAACCAGAGCTGGGATGAGCCCCCCAGATGGAATCCCCCCATCTCAGAGGCAGGCTCCTGTGCTGATCAGGAGAAGCAGAGCAGGGCTCACTTCTCCCAGACCCTGGGATGCACCTGGAAAATGCACCAGGCTGGGTCTAAGCTGGGTGGGGGGTGCCCAGGCCACACCCACAGTGGGTCCCTGAGTCCGCTCCCCCATCTTCCTTCATCCCTGGGATCCGGGTCTTTCCTTTCTCCAGGCATTCGCACATCTCTCCATCTGCATATTTTAACTCCCCCAGCTGCCTTTCCAATCCCTCCCTGCCATTTCCCTCTCCTCCCCTCCCCCGCCCTGCTGTGTTCACTCTGCCTGCTCTGGGCTGGGACTCCTCAGGCTTGGGTTTGGCTGTAGCCTTGGGCTTGCCTCCTTCCTGCATTGAGATAACAGGCCTGGGGCTTCCCAGACTCCCTGCCCAGAGAGACTTAGGCCAGCTGCCCCATGAGAGAGGAGCCCAGCTCACAGCCTACCTGGAAGGGAATCTATGTAGTGTTGTTCCCACCACCTCCCTCAGGAAGTCCCATGGACTGAGCCGTGATCTGCCCCTTCACCTGGTGACCTGCCCCTTCACCTATCAGGGAGGCAGCCACACTCTCCATGCCCTCAGTGAACCTCAGGCGCTTGCCTCCAGAAAATTCATACCCTCCCATCTCACCACCTGAGCACGAGGCAGTCCCACTGTCCACATCCTGTGTGCTAGTTTGGACAGCAAGGCCTGCGGCCCACCTCATGTTCTACTCCAGAAGTTGATCTGAGCTGGAAGTCACCTAAGGCTGGTGTCAGCCTTGCTGCAGCCCCTCCACGTCTCCTGAGAAGCCAGGGGTCCTTGGGCCAATTACCGGGAAGGTGTGGACTTCACATGACACGAGGGAGAGAAGGGGTGCTAGCCTCCCAGGGGTCTGAACTTGACCCAGGCACCTTAGTTCTGCTCCTCTTGGTCCTGTGGAAATCCCCCTCTCCATAGTTCAATTTAGGCTTAACTTGAAGCTGAAGATCTTAGGGTCTGAGCAGGTGCAGGATCTCACCTCCTTCCCACACATAACATGGGCAATATCTACAGCAATAATGACGCTTACTGAGGGCCAGGCTGGGCTGATCCTTTTACTTGAATAGAATTGATAAATAACTGAATCTTTATTAATACCTAAGCAGAAATATCTGGGGCAGAGTTTCTCAGAAGTGTGTTCTGGCGATCCTCTATTTTAGATTCATGTGGGGTTGTTTAAAATGCAAACTGTCAGGTCTAATACCAACTGAATAAGGACCATGGGATTAAGGAACCCTTGGACGTTTGCTTTTTTAATCAGCTGACCAGAACATTCCAACGCACAGTCAAGTTTGAGAACGGCTGCTCCCAATTTTGTTCAGGGCCAGATGCCCTTGGAATTCTTGATCTAGAAGGTGAGGGTCTTACAGCCCCCTACACTGGGTCTCTGCCCCAGAGGGTCCCTGGTAGTCAGCTTTCCATTACTGTAACAAATACCTGTAATAATCAATTCATAAAGGGAAAGGGTTTACTTTGGCTCGTGGTTTTAGAGGTTTCAGTCCATGGTTGGTGGACCCTGTTGCTCTGGGCCTGTGAGGACACAGCATGTCATGGCAAAAGTACATCGCAGAGCAAACCTACTCCCTTGTGGCCAGGAATTGAAAAAGAGAAAGAGGAAGGGGTGAGGCTCCCCTTGTCCCTTTTGAGATCACCACCCCAATGACTGGAAGACTTCCCACTAGGCCCAAGTCTTAAAGTTCCTCTACCTCCCTCTAGTTCCAAGCTGGAGACTAAGCCTTTAACACATGAGCCATTAGGGGAACGTAAGACCCAAACTTTAGCAGAGGCCTCTCACCTACCCAGGTGTGCTCCACTGGAGGAGGGGCAAAGCAGCCCTTCACACCAAGAGCTGGCCGTGTGGAGGGCCACGCAGCTACAGCTACAGAGGTCAGATATAGTGCCCACCTAACATCCTCTGGCTAATAGTCCACTCTGCTGGCATCCCTGGGGCCTCCCCAAGTGAAGTGTATTGGTCCCCTCTGAAGGGGGAAAGCTCTGACAAACTTGGGATGGTGCACTTGCCAACTGGCATGGCCCCCACTCTGCCTGGGGAGCCCATTCTGTCCTGGAGCTGCAGTACCCCAGGCCTTGGAGGGGACTTTTCTTGCCCATCTCCTGCCCAGAAATCCCACCTCCAAAGTCTGCCATAGGGAGCTGGTGCCAGTTGTGATAAGCTGAGGATGAAATTGGCAAAGGGTCCTGAAGTTGGGAGCCAGGAGCAGCCCAGGGTGACAGCACTTGCCGGGATCAGGAGTGCAGGAAGCAGCCCTGTGGCCTCATACAGAGGTGGCCTTGGGTTTGGGCAAGTCCGTGGCCTTCTCTGGATCCAAGTGATGAGGTGGTCCTCAAGATGGCTTCCGCTCAGTAGAGCAGGACCTCCCCTTCCAGGCTATATGTGTATGTGTGCCCATGCGTGCAGATGCTCTATCTTCTCCCCTGGATGCCACCTACTCTGGTTTGTTTGTTACTTAAGCCTCTGAGGGCCATTTTCCACTCCTGCCAGTCTCCCCAGGGGCAGGGGGCCAATAGCCTTCTCTATTGTCTCCCCCACATGTGACCTTCTTGGCACAGGACTGGCCACATGGTGGGTGGGCGCCCCACAAATGCTTGCTTATTGTTTGAGTAGTCAGGGTTCAATCAGAATGTCCTTCAGGCCTGGCCTGTGGGCAGGATAGAGTGACAACGGAAGAGGGCCCCAAAGACAGAATTTTGTTCCATCTATTTAGTTAGAAGCTGATATAGAACCAGGCTGCCCTGTCTCTGAGGAAGAGTGGTGGCTAGTGGCCAGCCCACCCTGTCTTTGGGCCTCATGGGGCTCCTCCTTCCCTCTCCCCCACAGGACGGCTCTCCTGCAGGCGCGCCCCCGGCTGCTTCTACCTGTGCAAAGCCTCGTGTGCCTGGCAGCCTTCGGGCTGGCCCTGCCACTGGCCATCAGCCTCTTCCCACAGATGTCAGAGGTCAGTGGGGGCCTCCAGGGCAGGGAAGGGAGGGGCGCAGTTGGGTCATTTATTAACAAATACTATCCCATGCTGATACCCTAACACTGTGCAAGGGACTGTGGTTAGAAGGGCAAATGGCCCAGGCTCTGACCACTGGAGCTGAAGGTCAAGCAGTCAACACAATGATGTTCAAGTTCAAGGGAGGTTAGGATGGGAGAAATCGGGCTGAATGTAGGAGGAGACAGCAGCTCGGAGTCTGGAGGGAAGTGGCATTTCCCTGGGATCTGGAGGCTGGGCTGGAGCTGGCCAGGTGAGAAGTGGGTGGGTGGACACATGGCCTGGGATCAGCCAATGTGAAGATTCTAAGTTGAGGCAGCACATGGGGACTGTTCAAGATGGGATCAAAGAGCTGATCGAGCGCTCTTCAAGAGCTGACCACAGTCTGCAGCACGAGCAGAGCATGGAGCCAACTGAGGGAGCCCAGGTAAGCGGCCTGGGGCCAGGTGGTGCTGGGAACTTGGAGGCCAAAGCAGAGAAGCCAATGTCATCCTGAGGGCTAGCCTTAAAGCAGGACCACAGACTCCTGATTTTGAAGGGTCCCCATGCCTGTGTCATGAGTCTGGGTTGGAGCTCTGGAGAAGGAACCATCAGGAGGCTGTGGCGGGCATCCAGTGAGATGATGGCAGCTTGGACCGGGCTGTTGGCAGGGGGCATCAAGAGGAGTGGGGCTGCTTCATCAGGACTTCATGAAGAACTGCATGTGGTGGGAGGGAAAGGAATCCGGCAGGACGTGTGCCCGGCTTTCTAGTTTCAAAAGCAGAAGGCAGATAGGTGTAGGTGCTACATGAAGAGGGGCTGGCTGGAGGGAGGACACTGAATTGAGTTGGATGACCTCTGGGTGTGAAGAGTCTGTGGAACATGCAAATGGAGGTTCCCTGTGGAAAGTGGTTCTGGAATCAAGGAGAAAGGCCTAGGCAGCAGGGAGAGAAGTAGAGACCACTGGGGTAAAACCAGTACTGGGAGGGGCAGAGCCAGCCACATGGGATCCGGAGTAGGTGAGCAGTCCAAGCCCCATGGGGTTCAGAGTGTCCATTGTCCTTCAGGCAATGGAGACAAACCCTGTCCCCAAGGAGTGGAGCACAGGTGACCTACCTATGGCACCAAGGCCATCATCAGAGGTGAGGCTTGGCACCAGGGAAAAAGAGAAACAGGCACATCGCTGTGACAGATGCAGGATCTTGAGAGCTTTTGTTATTTACTTTTCCCTTTTTATAAAGGGAAGGACTGGGGCTGGGTAAATGCAGAACAGAAGCACCCGGAGGAAGCTGAGGACATGGAAAGGAGGAGGATGGGGAGTAAGGCCCATAAAAGGGGGGAGGGGACCCAAGCAGAGACAAGGGGCAGATCTTGGCAGAGGGAGAGCCCCCTGCTCATGTTCGCATGTGGGAGAGGAGTCGGGGGCAGATGCCTTTGGGAGGGAAGATGGGTGGGAAGCCAAGCAGGAGGAGCAGGCCCAATGGGGCCGAGTGAGCCTGGTGTTTGGAGTAACGAGCTCATGAGAAGCGGGGACTGTGGCTGGAGTTTGTGATTTCAGGGTTGACCCTATTTGCGGAGGGCCCCAAGAAGGGTGGTGGGAGGGGTAAGTGTTCCCAGAGGGAATTTGGAGAAGGTGACAATAAGAGACAGGAAGGTGAGGACTGGAGATCTAGGGCCTTGAAGTAGGAGGTAGAGACCCAACTTTAAGGTCCCCAAGGGTGAGAGCTGGAGTTACTGCCCCCACCCCAGCCCCAGAGTCTAGGGAGGATACTATGGCAAGGGTGGGGCTCTTGTTTTATAGGACCCACCAAGGACACACCAGGTGGGATCCTGGTGTGTGAAATGAGCCCCCAGTTCCATCAGGCCTGAAGGGCTTAGCTTTGTTGTGGGGACAGGGACACTCTTCCCACCTGCAGGAAAGCTGAGCTTGGAAAGTCCCAATGGAGTCGAGAACACCAGGTTGCCTAGAAGTCTGAGGACAGAAGGGGGGTACTTTGCAGTGGTCCCTGACATCCATGTCTTGGAGGGTCTGAGCCCAGGCTGCCTAAAGTCTCTGCACATCTCTGTAGTCAGCCTGAACCTGAGATTCTAGGCAAGGGCCGAGTCCCCCGTGTGCCTCTAGCACCATTTTGTCCTGAGCATCAGGGGCTCTGGAAGCTCTGCATGGAGAGGGCCCAGGGCAGGAAAACTCTTGGCACCAGATCAGAGACCATCCCAGCTATATGGATTTCAAGGTCACCCCATTTACCACTGGGAAATGGAGGCCCAGAGCAGCCACAGGGGAAGCCCAAGGTCAGAGGAAACCCTGAAGGTCCACACTTCTGGTGCAGAGAGATGGTCCAAAGTCAGTTGCTCTGGCCTCACAGAGGCTCCAGGCAAAGCCTGGGCTCCACTGTCCCCCAGTGCCTGCTCAAATAAGCACAGAAGTCAGTTCCTCTGTGTGTCTAACCAAAGTCCTCTTATGGCAACCCAAGCCTCTGTGTCTAGATTGGGAAAAAATATCATCACCGTATAATAGGTCTCTGTCCCCTGGGGAGGGAGGGTTGCATTGCCTCCAGCAGGATGCAAGCTGTCCTGGGCATCATGGGGTGTTCTGAAGCCTTTCTGTGACCTATCTATGGCACCAAGGCCATCAGCCAATGGCTGAGAGGACCTCATTCCCCCAGTCATCCTCCCAATTAATTCTAACGAGGTGCTTCTTCTACCGTGCAGGGATCATGTCTCATGTCCCAGAAGCCAGTGGGATTTGCCATAATAAGTCTGAACTTGCTTGGGCTGACCCAACTTTGCCAAAAGCCACCAAGGCTGTCAACAGAAGTAATCACTGAAACACTAATTAATTAATTAGGGGACTTGGAAATCGAGTTTAGGAACTGGTTCCTAGGATGGCCGACCTGCGGTGATTGGTGTGGTTTCCAACTCATCAGCCCCAGAGGTTGAGGAAAGAACTTCAATCCCTGCTTCAATTCCTGGGAGAGAGTTTTGTCTGCTCTTTTTGAATTAATATTTTTGCCTATTAAAATAGCACTGAGGGTCAAATTGCAAATAGTAATGATAGCTACTTTTACCAAACAGCTACTAAAGCAGGCAAAATGCTGGAAACTCCGTGCCTTATTGTATTAACTCCTCCTAATGCTCTTCAAGTTCAAAGTATTATTGATTATCAAGGGATGTTGCCCAGACAGATAGATGTGTGCATCTATAGCTCTGGGGAGAGGTTTGGCTGGAGATATGAAACCTTCTGTACAAGGGGGAAATCAAAGCCTGGGGGAAGGTGAGGTCACTGTGAAGGAAGAAATGTCATCGAGAAAGGGAAGGAGCAGCAAGAGGCGGGGAGAGAGCCCAGGTGGAGTAGATTCATGGAAGCTGAGTACATGGAAGGCGGGGGCTCTGTGCAGAGTGAGCTCTGACTGAGGGTCCTGGAAGGAGCAGAGGAGACTTAGCCATTGTGTGGTGTAGATAGACACTGCAGTCAGGAGGCAAAATGGTAGTCGATTTTCTCTCTTTGTTCAGAAAAATGAGCTCAGGGATGGGCAACTCTGGGAGATCAGCACTGGGTGTTCTGTGAGATGGAGGTTGGGAGCTGGTGAGAGAGCAGCAGTGGTGAGGGAATGTCCATAGCCCAAAGAGGGAAGGTGTGGCCTCCAAGGAGTCCCTGGGTTCAGTGAGTAGAGGGGCCTGGTTGGTCATGGTGGCAATTCTACAAGGTAGGCTCCTATATTCCTTGTATGCAAATGAGAAAACTGAGGCACTTTAAGGTTAAGGACTTTGCCCAAGGTGCACTTTGGTAATGACGGAGCTGTCTTTGTACCCAGGCAGGATTCCATATCCTTCCTCAGCCTGCCCATACCCCATCATAAAAAGAGGAGGCCAAGTCTCATCATAAAGAGGAGGCCAAGTGTGTGCCCCAGACTACTCACCACTAATTTATCAGCAAGAACATTCCAGTGTCTTCTCCTAGGCCTCCTAGACTTTGTGGGGGAAGTGGTATCCATTTTCACAGGAACCTTCTGGAGTGTGCATCTTTGTTTTCTGACCCTGAGCTGACAAAGGGGTGGGAAGGGTGGGGAAATCTAGAGGAGGGACAGGTGGGACCAGAGACCCCCTTAGAACTTGAGTGTGAGAACTGGAGGATGGGATCTTCCCTCCCTGCAGGGCTGTGATCCTATTGTCCATGCAGGGAGCATGGAGTCTGCCCTGATGGGCCCTGTGACCTGGAGGATGAGGCCACACAATGGGACATTGCCAAGAATCACTTGGCCAGGCTATTCCCAGGCACAAGCAGGCCTATCAGCACGCTAACCCAAGCTCTACCCCATAGACCCCCATACAGGCTGGGTTGCTTTCCCTTTCTGTAACTAGGATGGTCACATAATGGTTCCTAGTCTTAGGGAGCCTCCATTCTGGGGGTGGAACCCAAAATACAGTAAGTCATAAATGTCAACAGGAAGTGGAGCTATGATAAAAAGAAGGCAGAAGGCTGCGCTAGGGTATGTGGGTAATAGGGGCCTCCTGTGTCCAGTGGGGCCTGATTTACGCGGCCTTGTCGGCCCTGCCCTCTCTGGAGATTGCGACTCTGAGTTCCAGGCAAACTCGGTCACCTCCATCCTGCCTCCCCATCCCACTTACACTGGTGCCTCGTTCCCTGGAGGGAGAGTTCCAGGGTCAGTCTGGGCCCAGAGGCTTGGCTGCCATAGGAGGCCGGACCGGCTGATGGTGAATGTCCCTCCAACCCTGACAGGCGGTGTTCCCTACCTGGGAGCGCGTCCAATCCCCCTTAATGAACCTCGTGTCTCCTGAGAGAGAGAAGCAGCACCTTGGCCAAGGCCCCCTCGCCTGTCCCTGCCTGTTTCTGCCTCTATCTTTCTTTGTGCCTCTTTCTCCCTTCCCTGATTCCTCTTGGGCTCTCCTCCCACCCCGGTCCCCTCTCCTTCCCTCACGGCTCCCCCGGGAGCTCTGGGGCTGGGGGACGGGGCTGCACA